TACTGACTAAATTCTGCGATTTCAAAATGGATGTAATAAAGTGGTAATTGAACTTCGTGTCGTGCAATTTTGGTCTGAAATCATACTTGTGATTTCAAATCGAACTCGCGCTGCGCGCTCGTTCGATTTTGAAATCACGCGTATGATTCCAGACCAAATTGCACTCCACTCAGTTCAATTACCATTATTAATGATAATTTAACCAGTTCTCATAAGCTTTTCCCTTGATTATGTACCAATTTTGTTCGGAGAAGATTTATGTTGCTCACTCTTGTGACTTAAAGGGTTACATTAATTTAAACCCAATGGTTTATTTGTATTATTGCGCATTTCCCTGGTCCCTCAAATTTACAGTGTAACACCCTCAGGTCATTCAGTGAAATAAGAATCATGAACGTCACGCGAAGTTTCGAGTTCTTTGTTTGAACCGCCTCCTGGTTAGCTCAGTTGGGAGAGCGCCGGTCTGCCGAGCGGGAGGTCGCGGGTTCAAACCCTGGCCGGACCAACACTCGGGGTCTTTAAATAACTGAGAAGAAAGTGCTGCCTTTGTAATGACATCTGCAAATGGTTACACTTTCTAGTCTTCTCGGATAAGGACGAAAAATCGTAGGTCCCATCTGACAGCACTTTCACTGATCTGTTCATGTGGGACGTAAAAGAACCCACACCACTGTTCGAAAAGAGTAGGGGACGTAGACCCCTGTGGTGTGGCCAACCTTTACGGGTTGTGGGATTGGGTAGGGATGGCACCTTGCATAGGACCTATGAGTCCAGTTCGTGCCCATTCCCTCTTGGCAGGCTTGTGTCCAGAAAAGCTAGTAAAACTAAAAAACTATTTTTATCGGTGGCTTTCGTTTAGACCCAACTTAACAACCTTTACTGTACATCCTTTAAGTTTCTCTAAATTTAACTCGCTAAAACGGCAATATGGGATCCATTTTTTGCCATTAACCCAGTCGCTTAGAAGGATGACCTCCCTATAATACATACAGAAAAAAACTGAGTTGCCCAAAATTTAGGGTGGGGGAGGGGGGGGGGGTGCCGTCCCCCGGCCCGTACGCCTATGTGCCCATATTAAAGCGAAGTTATCCTTCTAAGTGAATTTGTTCATTTAAAAAAAAACACCGGTCAGTAAGAAATTTTCGTTTCTGGACAGATCTTATTGAGGTATATTTATACCCGACTTAAAAACGGCCTTAAAAGACCAAAATACGGGATCAAAAATTGTGATCTCGCATCCCAAAATTGTTGCAAACCTTGATCCCTGATTAACTGCGTGAACTTGACAAAAACTGGATGAAGTACTACATAAAGTATCTCTCATTTCGATTTATTTTATTTTAGTCACGCAAGGGCCATTTATACCAGGAAAAATAAGACTACCCGTATAAACGGCACATTAAAGACGCGACTTAGCAAAGACGCGTCTTATCGAAGAACAGGCGTTAGGGGCTGTTCTTAGATAAGACGCGTGTTAGCTAAATTTCAAGCGAAATGTGCCGTTTATACGAGATAGTTTGAGTCTTATTTAGGACGCGTCCTACAGTGTATGTAAGACGCGTCTTATTTTCCTCGTTTAAACTGCCCTATTAGTTACTGACTGGAGAATTAAGTTTGGCTCCCGTCTTTATTTTCGAGTTATTATTTCTATCATAATGCGTTCCACTTTAGAGCTCTTATAATAATAATATATCGTTTTGTGCTCTGTTCGTGTCATTTAAGCCTTCCTTTTAAAATTTGATCAATTTCATGTAACAACGGCAACTTAACAGCAACGACACAAGCAAAACGAATTTTGATGCAGTATATAACTCTAGGATAAAAAGCGTTTGCTCTAGCTAGCTTTGTTTCAGTCGCCGCCTAGCTAACTTTAGGAGTGCCTCTAGTCATACATCAATATCTGACTATCATACAGGTGTAGGTTTTGATAAAATCTAGTTGGGTTACCGCTCGGCATAATATAGTGAGCATTGCCCGGGGGGTACTCCCCTATAAAATTAAAGTGACGGTGTTGCTCGTCGAAAAATTTCGAGAACACCCCTAAAAGGTACCAGAATCTTGTTTTATGGGCCTGTCCCAAATTCATTTCCACCTCTATAAGGTAACAATTCAACAACAACAAATTGTATTACTGGCACTGCAAATTTTAATAGTAATACAGATAACATTCGAACACTTTCTTCTCAAGCACTTTTTGAAAATATTGTTAAAAATCTTTATCCTAATTATAATAAAGCATATTATTTCTAACAGAATTCTTAACAACTCTGGCAGCAGTCATTTTAAGTTTTAGCACCCTAAACGGTAGTCTGCTACACAGCCGTTTTTCGCGTCGTCACGCAACGCTCCTCCCCACTTAGTGGGGAGGAGCGTTGCGTGACAACACTAAAAACGACTGTGTAGCAGACTACCTAAGCGGTACCAATCCACCAATTTAAACCCCTAAAAGGTACGACAAGCATCCCCGTCAATTTTATAGGGGAATACCCCCCTCCCAGGGGGAGCAGTGTACCAGCTCTCAGCGGATCCAGTTAGCTTGAATCTAAAAAAAGGGTG